CGAAGCTTCGAGGCTTAGGGTACACAGTGAAAGCAGGTTTACCCGCGCGGCAACCTGCTCCAACCTGCCACAAGAATGAACATAGGATAATAATGTAAGTGTTCTCAGTGAAAACCTGTACGAATAGGCTTCTGCCGACAACCTGCTTATACCTATTTACCGGAATGTACTGCACATTCTTATCTGATCAACCTGCTTGGCATATGGTCGCTTTTGAATTAGCTGTACCTTTAAACCCTCCATTTTCTTTGTTTGCACTCAATTGGAGGGATTTTTGAGAGGTATTAACAAATGATGAGCATCGGCAGTGATCAATTAATCACAGAGGAGTATGCTCGAACACTCATTTGGGACAAATGGAGTAAAGAGCCCTCTAACCGAATTGTAGTTGAGAAACTTTGGGCTGACATTGCCAAGAAGATGAACTGTGAAGGTAAGGGAACATTAGTTTAATTTTACTTTAACTGCATATCAAAAAAATACCTGGTTTCTTCCTCTTGCGAATGGTTTCTTCCTCTCTTGTGAAAAAGACCTGGTTTCTTCCAGCTGGTTTCCTGCTTCCTCTGTGAACACCCTCTCGCGCTTGTTCAGGCGCCAGCCTCAGCAGGTAACCAGCACGCTGGCAACCTGCTTTCACTGTGTACGTACCCTTAGGGCGTTGTCTATTTATGCACGTCAAGTGGAAGACGAAGCAGGATTTGGTGATTGTTCTACGTAAACTTCTGTATTCACGTGTTCACGGAAAAAGTTACCGGGGTAAACTGAGTGCTCTTAGAGAACTGTTTTGCCAGAAGGGAGTCCTTCTTCCTTTGACCATGTAAGGGTACCCACACAGTGAAAGCAGGTTTGCCTGCGCGGGCAACCTGCTCCAACCTGTCACAAGAATGAACATAGGATAATAATGTAAGTGTTCACAGTGAAAGCCTGGACGAATATTCCAGCGCCAGGCCTATTTATTTTAATTTCAGGCGCCAGCCTAAGCAGGTAACCAGCACGCTGGCAACCCGCTTTCACTGTGTGGGGACCCTAATACTGTAACGTAATCGATTTGTCTTGTATCAATTATTTGCAAACAAATTGTAAAAATACGGCGCGAAGTGTGTGTAAGCAGAAGTAATTTAATAAAAAGATTTCAGTTAATATTTTTTGCTTCTCACTGCACCAAAATTAAGTGTGCCCTTTGCGCATCGCTCTCATGCCCACGAAGGTTCTGGCACCATAACCATGGAGCGCCAGGACCATACGTGCAGCTGTAGAGCTGGGGACATTAGACGGCACGATTTGTGCTAATGGCGTCGGGAAATTGTAACCACTCTTGGGGGTGCGTAATGTTCTACGAAGTTACTTAGTTACAACGTTACTTAATTACTTTTCAAAATGGCACTTGAATGGCACGCTGTTGAACTCGACTCAGTGTTTCTTGGTGTCATATCTTCTTCTCTTTTATATTAAGCTTCGTGCTAGTTCTAGAAGTTTTCTTGATTTATGCTATGCATCTCATTTAAATTTGCTCATTTATTTATAGCATCATGCTAATTCATGATATTAATTGTTCTTAACCAATCTTATTGCTTCAATACCTTTATTCTAATACCGATGCCGTCGTCGCTTCTCTCCAATAATGGCTGTACAGTGCAGCTCGAGCTTAGGCTGGGACGATGGATGCATTAGAATATGAAGCAGCGTCAGGGCTCGTATCCAGGCACCGCACCTTCATCCATCAGGCAGGCTGTGTTTACCTGCGAGAGCTGCAGTGACGTCGCCACTGGGGGTGAGCGACGCTTCATTTCATCACGGGAATAGGAATTTGGCTACTCATTTCATCACTACGGTGGCGATGGTGTCACTCATGAAATTCTTGCAAGTGTTAAATTGGGTTTGCAGGGCCGAGCGTGGCGGTGTGAGGGCTTAGACAGACATCGCGAGACATCGTTGCTCTGGCGTGCGAGGAATATGACAAGTGTGTTAACACGTAGCCACCTTAATTCGACTGGAGCTGGCAGCGGATCGATGTAGTACATCTTACTTGAATTTCGAGCCGCCGGGAGCGGAAGCATCGCAAGTCCAACAGCTTTATGTTTAATTGCATGAATTTGTTTTCTTTTGTACTGTAATCTAAAAGAACAGTAGCTCACTCTCTAAAAATATAATTACATTTCTTAATGCATTTACGATTTTCATCAATGGTGGAATTAAAATTTTTTTTTCAAATTCAACTAAAATGTACTTCAATGCTCACGAAAGGCAATTTATTGGCAAGCGGAATGGGTGGTTTTCCACTGAGTGAGGTGGAACGAAGATGGTTTCTCATCTTCGTTCTTTGCACATACGCTGGTAAGTAAAGAATTGATCAGTTTAGTTTTCTTGTAGTTCCGCCATAGTGTTGTCAGGTTCTCCACAAAATTACTTGATGTTTTTTCATGAAATTTGGGTTTCTAATTAATATTTTTTCACGATATATGGGCTTCTAATTAAATTCTTGAATGTTGCCACTAAATTTGGTAACAAGATTATGAAGCTGTTTTAGTTACAGCAGAATTTTTCACTGCGACGATTAATACGGTACGTGGTAATCACTGAGTGACGTAATTCAGAGTAAGGCAAAAAAGAGTAGAGGGTCTCGCATGCTTGAGCCCTCCAAGAAGCTGCCAGCTTGAAGTTAGTTTAAAAGTTAGCTGCGGTGATCAGACGCACACCGGCGTACTCATCGACGGCCGTTCATCAAAGTGTCCAGCGTTTTCACCCGTTAAAAATAAACTGGGATAAAAAGTATGAAGTTGCCTAAAAAGCGGATAACGTCGGCTAAAAAGCGGATCTGGACTAGAACTTTGGCTCGCCCCGGCTCAGCGCGCGTCATGGAACACTGTTTAAATTAAAACTTGAATGGAGGGCGATACGGAGTTACCTTGGGGCTCGAAGTTGGTCGGATACACGCAGCTCCAGGATTACAGGATAAGGCAGGCCATGCTCAGGGGAAGTGCCTCGAGCGTGTGAGGGAAGTGCCTCGAGCGTGCGAGGGATGTGCCTCGAGCGTGTGAGGGAATTGTGAGGAAAGTGCCTCGAGAGTGTGAGGAAAGTGCCTCGAGAGTGCGAGGAATGTGCCTCGAGAATGTGAGGCATGTGTCTCGAGGGTGTGAAGTCAGTGCCTTGAGAGTGTGAGGCAAGTGCCTCGAGAGTGTAAGGCAAGTGCCTCGAAAGCGTGAGTGAAGATACAGGAAAATGTGCGGTAAAAGTTTAAAATGTGTGAGTCAAGAGCTCAGATTGCGTGATGGTCTAGACTAGAGTGTGAGGCTAGATCCTAGAGTGCGATATAATAACCATGAATTTAAGAGTTAAATACATTGAGTATGCGGAGAAAGCGTCTGCGAAAAATAGGTATGCCAGCTTAATGAGGGAACAATAATAACAATAATAATAATAACAATAATAAGAACAGCTTCTGCCAAACTACACAAATGCTTAATAAGGGGAAAACAATTCTGTTGTGGCAGAATAAGCATAACCGTACTTAGGAAACGGAATTCTTTCTGTATTGTTTAGAATATTCCCCCCGCAATATATTCCTCCTTTTTTGACTGGACAATTTTATCAACATTTTTATGGCTTCATACTATATTTCATTCACGTACAATATGAGCGCTTGTTCAAACGCAATTTTTACTATTTTCGCTGCAGAAAATATCTGTATTCTAGGCTCAGAGTGTAAGCGTGAAATTCAGTAGTTCCACAACATATCCATGAAAATTACTTTATCATGTTACCACAGCCAAAACATGAATGTTTTATTCCCGTTGACCGTCTGTGATAGCAAACCAGCGCCCAATCCTCTGTCTCTGCAGTCGCGTCAGCGAGAGTCGGAGGGACAACAATACATTGCTACTGTCATTACAACTCTTTCCGATGCTCATCGTTAGAACGTCTACGACTAAAGTTGCTAACAACGGCTGATATTCCACATGAGTGAACAGGCAGCCCGCGCCGTAGCTCTGTATAACTGATCGATTTGGAAGACAAGTCACTTAGCGTGATTTGCCGGACCATATTTCACAGGGAAATTCCAACTTTATTCGGCTCGTAAATATTCAGAGGCTTCTCTGAGATTAGCTAGATAAATTCAGATGTCACGGCAGAGTTGGTGCATCGCGCCTCCCGAACTTGTAGCCCCACGCGCCACGGCTGACCTTAACTCTGCAACTTGTCGCTGCAAGTTGCAAGTTCCCTCAATCCGCTTCATCGACGGAAACGGGCAACCGCGAAGAGCAAAGCGATTGCTACAGCCCCGTTTATAACTATTGTGCAGACTATCACCTGGAGGTGTACTGACTTTTGATCAGCCATCAGTCCGTAGTCTCATCGGAAAATTTCTAAGAATAATCCTTTACAGCTTGGTTCCACTTTTCAAAGCTGAAATTACAATGTCAACTGGACATTGCTAGCTAGAGTCTAAACGACATTTTCCGTGCAAACTGTAAAAATTTCCGTGACTGTGAAAAACCTTCATAACGTTCATTACTTACAGAAGAACCTCACAAATTTTCATGATTATTATTACTGATGGTCGAAAAAATTTAACTCCCTCTGTTATTTTGCAGATTGCCGTTGCTGACGTGAAGCTCTTCCAACGCCCCATCACCGACATGGGGACTATTCGTAGCTACCATGGAAAATTTATAGCAGCCCCCATGCTAGGTAACGTCCAATTCGAGTCTCTGCAACATGGTATATATACGAGATTTAATCAATCGATCAACTTTCAAAAGTATATAGGCTGACTTATATCCGATCGCAAATGAACGTATGAGGAAACCATTCAATGAGCGTATGGAGTCAGAATACGCAAAATTTGTTACTAGATTTTACCGTTTAGATGACAGCGACTAGAGATAGGATTTTCTGGCATGCATCTTTAAATATCGATGTAATGTTTGCTGCGCGATCTATTCGTCCGAAGAGAGTAACCGAAAGTGTAAAGATGGGATTGTAAAACGAAACGAGGATAATGTAGCTACGTCGATATTATATTTCACTATGATTTCTTTTTTACATACATATTCACATGTCTTTGTGGGATCTACATAGCATGAACCTTATTTTAACCTGTACAAAACTAACTAAATCCTGTCCAGCACACCAAATGAATGATGAAACGTACATTATCTTGAATAATATATCGTAAGTAAATATTCACCTTTGCTGCCTTACGAGTGTATTCATAATGGAATAGCAAAATGTAAGTAGACAAAATAGAAATGAACTCAAAACAAATGTCGGTTTACAAATTTCTAAGTATTATGAGGAAAAAGAGGCGGAGTAACATAGAAGAAAGCATATACATGATCGAATATCAGGTCCGTTCATAAGTGTACTTAATTTTATCCTTGCATAAAACAAAACTGAATCAACTGTTGCGTCTATCATTGCCTCCACAAAACCGATGATTATAATAACAATTAAATCAAATTTTCATGAATTGTGTTCATTATAAATCGTGGGGCGTGGTAACATTATGGAAATCATCAGTCCGAATTTCTACATCGATAGATAGCGACGTCTGTTCTGTAATAATTGTGTACAACAAGCGAAACGAGTAACATTGGTTACGTCACCAAATATTCATATTACATTCGAGAATGAAGATCTTACGATATGTGCAGCATGGACACAGATGTAGCACATTCTGTTACGCAACAAAAAAATAACATAGAGCACAACAATGGCACTTGGAGGAGGAAAGCTAGGATTCAATTTTGCGCTATCAAAGATGTTAAATCATAGGCTAGCTCACAAAATGTCATATTTTCATCAGTTTGAATGTACTAGCAGTTTCTTTTGAATTTGTGATAAAATAGAACAATATTCACTCGAGGAGTGTGTGATCAATGTTTGCATCTACTGTCAAAGTTTTACTTTATTAGCTTGGTTTATTGATTCAATGAGTATTTTTAAAATAAAGTTGGGTACCACGTTCATGGGAGGTTGATGAAGCTGCATTGAGGAAATATACCGTACAATAAGCTGCAACTTTTTTCCATGCTGAACTGAATTTAGCCGATTATAATTCAATCGAAGTTGGGTAAATTTACATGTTCAAAATTTCACGTTTCACGAAGTTCAAAATTTACACGTTTCTGTTTTCTCAAAAATATAGTTAACTCCACTTCCCGCCAATATTATTCGCTATTAACGAAATTAAAGTTGTAAGAAAAACCGGTCATAATTCGGCCAAAATAATTTGCAAAATAATAACAATAAAAAGGTTCAATTTCTTGACTACAGAGCAACTGCACCGAATGATTTTGTAATGAATTGACTGAAATGTTTTGGTTATGTCCGCAAGAAGAAAACCTTCCAGGAGCTATTTGAGCAAATGCACATCCTTATTTCACACAATATCTGCATGGCTTGCAAGTCAATTATAAATCTCCAACAGAAGCCAAGAATGTGAATTGTATCCGTCCTTACACTCAAGGAGAGGAATGCAGTGAGAAAACAGAAAGAATATGAAATTGGATTGGAACAATCGTTAGTCCCGACATTAAATAATTATCCGGTTAGATGCCTCGGGTTCACATAATAGCTTCGGAAGAATTGACTGGACAATTTCGGTAAACCACGAACAACTTCTGATCTGGCTTCGTTTTGTTTTGAACAGATTCACTTAATTGGGAAGCCAATAACCATATTACGTACTCCAACCACTTAGGGTTAACGGAATTTTCAAATCAAATATTGGACTGAATTAAAGCAGGCATTAGCGTTGAAATAATACGCATGCCTACACGAAGATCAATAACCTGTACCGGAATATATGCTAGTATCGGCATATTCAACACAGTTTGACCGCACTGCCACACCCTGCTCCACAGTCTTCCTTATCTTAGAGCCTATATATAAGTTATCTACAGGTGCAGTCTATGTGAGATAGGTGAGCGATGAATAAGCTATACACTGCGGTAATATTCACATGTACGCACGACACACAGAATCGCGTAGTTTACGTAACTATTTGGTGTCCATCCAAAGCTCAGGAACAGAACAAAAATATTCATAATAATGTGGGTTATTTCCTCTACTTAGCAAAATTCGTCGGAATTAAGAGGAATGCCAGGCCTTTAGTGCGTTTTTTATTTGTCAAATTACAGCAAGTGCAAAGTGAGCGAAAGGATGGATTAGAATTTGTAAACGTATGGAAGATTAACGAATCCAATATCCGACTTCTAGTCAATGTGAAGAGCACGTAAATTACCTCAAATTAATGTAATTAACGCGAGAAAATACACTGAACCGAACAATTGCGACTTTCCTGCCACATGCTCTTGGGTTGTGCTATAAAAAGCAAACTGTTTGCAGCATTGCTAATTTACATTGAAAAGTGAATTTTCAGGCTTTAGACACCATCAACAAACGTACAATACTCAGTAAATAAATGAGTTACTCAAATCAATCGAGTAAAGTGGACCAAACAATTAGCATCAATCCCTGGTTACCCTCAGGCGTACAGCACATGACATCCACGCGGCGCAAGCAGCAGCAGCAGCGACGGCAGCTCCGCTAACATCTTTACGGCGCCCCCGGGACGAGCAGATTGGATAAAAGCATCCAAACCTCAGCGTGTGAGCAACGCACTAGCTCTGTTCTTATGTCACATGAGACACAACATCGCAACTCACAAGACAAAACAAACAATAGACCACCCAGCATTTTCTTCGAAAGAAAAAACCTCAACAGGGTTACCGTGCTATGTTCTACATAATGTGGCCCGTTTTTTAGAATTCAAAAGCGAAATTTCTACACAACAAAAGTGAGTCATGTTGTAGCATAAAGCATATGTAGAGCTTCGTAGTTATCATCATTCTCGATGAGTGGACACTGGTACGAAAATGTGATAAACATGAACTCTACGCAAAATAATATTGACATTTCGTTATATTTCGTCATTGCATTGCTTACTGTAGTTCACAAGCAGCCAGCTTTGCAAAACAATTAAACTTAACTTATTTACAACAGAGTGGTATAGCAGGGAATTATCAGAACATTTGGGATTATCTACAGAGAGAAAGCAAACAGCAAGGAAAATAATGACTAGTTACAAGTCAAAAGACCCAGCGCAAAAATCGAAAACCAACTCGTCATTTTAACATTCTTATCAACAGCAACAAACTTCGACCTTCGTTTTCTCATTTACAAAATTAAGTACCGATGTCACCCGCCTGAAGTACGCATAAACGGAGAACGGACTGCGACAATTAATCAACAGTGAAAAAAAAATCGAGACAATTTACAAAAAAGTCAATGTTGGAAAAAATCATGTAAACAGTTTCTACGCAAAAAAAGTCAATCGTGAAATTGAGGAACCTGATCGTCAGAAATGAAACGATAGGCACCGATAGAACAGCTCAGAGCAACTGTTACCTAACAACAGGTAGGCTTCACAGATACAAAATTGGATGCGCCTAGAGGCAGACATTAAGCCTATAACCAAGGAGGATTTGAAGCGAGGTAGAGGTATTCTTAATTATCTACCAACACCGACACTAGCTACAATTTAAAACAATTTTTAGCTTCCTTGAACATGTTTTAGAGCGCATTATGATAGCCTCTGGGGCTATCGCTTAGGTTCAAAATTTGGTTTAGGATTCGGTATAATATGAACGGTTGCGACGCCTGTATCTGGAATGATAATGTTGAATAACAAACGTTTTATCTCAAAAAGATGACTTCTTACAAGCAATCATATAATTCGAAATGCAGATCAAAAATCTAACTGAGGCATCTGATTCATTTTTATGTCATTGCATAATGCAATAGCGTTATTTGAAACACTGCCTAACAATAACCAATGACAACAATTACCAACAACAATGTTTATTCACAATGACAATAATCGCTTTCATAAACAGACGCATCATCAGAAAAAGCCCCCACTAGTTGATAAATATCAGATGTTATTGTTAAGCGTCACAGGGGAAACTTGCGTTTACTGATTTGGAGCATAAATGTCACGCGTTTGAGGTATGCAGCATCTTGGAGCCTTTCATACGAAACTTCACGATACTGAATAGAAATGCACTTGCATTGTATTATAGTTATACAGCTTTACTCAGAAGCTCTGTCGAAGGTACCAATCATGTGGGAAAGCAAACGTCAACAATTGAATAATGAAAAAAATGGGAATTTTGAAACTACAAAAATGAGAGGTACGTACATTAAGAGATCATAATCCATCGGAGAAGAGCCAGACTCAGCTTCCAACCTCTAAGGAATATATAAATTATATACTTTAGGCTAAAATAAGGAGAAAATGAAACGAAATTATAAACTCTGATGACCGCGGAGTACAGGAAAATGACGACCTGTTGCCACATTAAAGACGAAAGCTCTCAGCACTATACTGCTGATTTTCTTTGTTTAAATAAGAGTAGCAAGTTTTCTTTGGTACAGCAGTAAGGGGCACACAAAAAATTCTAACATAAACACCCAGAAATACCGAAGAGAATTCCCTGTAAACATTTTCAAAAGACCGAAGAACCATTTCTCAAGGTCTTTGCCTTGCCTTACAGTTGAGTAGCAGTTGTGATGTTTGACTGTAAGGGTGGCAGTGATCGCGACACCTCAAGGTAGCAATTATAACATCAGTAATGTCTTAATGTAGCAAACGAAACATTCGTAGTAGCAGCAACAACGGCAGAGAAGTAGCAACGCAGTGCGAGCAACACTGGTAACCTGTAAAGAGAGAAAAATGTTCGAAGTGATCACAGAAATTTCCACTGAAACCCTGATATTTTGGCAATTAGATTAAAAGAGGTTATTCAATTGCTTGCATCGCAAATACATTAAAAATGTAAAAGAAAATTCACTATTACGTCCTGTCATTCAGCGGTGCGCACTCACGCCAGCGGTGTAATGTTCCAGCGTCCGATAACGACTTTAAGATTTTAGCTTCCACTTCCGGTACTTCCGATTTGCGTATTTTAGAATCCTTTAATTTCTTTAAATAGAGACGTAGTTGAGTGAAGCATTTAGTTCCTAACCATTCAAAATTGTGAATCGATAGATATTGCCTTTTTTGTCCGTTTTTTATGAATTTTCATTTTTTCTTCGGCGTTTTTGGATTTCGACTACTTATTGTATCTGTTTTCTGGAATATTTGAACTAACGATAGACATGGATTCCAAAGTATTTCCTTGAAACATACGATTGATTTTTGTGGAATTATTTTCTTTTTTCCTTTTAAATCTTTATTGTTTAAAATATAGCGATATCTTTATGAACTGATAAGAAAGATGGTTCAATTTAAGAGGAAAAAAATAGACACTTCGTTAATCATTCTAAATAAAACCAAATTGAAACCTTAGAAAGTCGAGAGAATATACACCCTAATTAAAATCATAAAAAAGCTAATCCAACAATATTGCGCATGATGAATCAAGCTTATTTGTGACAAATTAATCAATACAAGAATAATCTACGCGATGATTAGTGCAAAACTTACCAGCAGACGATCGTCCCTCCATGATGCTGGCCCGCTGGGGTTGATCAATGGGAAGCTCGACTTCATTTGTCTCCCAGTAGATGCCGGCGATTTCTGCGGTGCACTTGACAAGCAGACGCCCGTCGTTGTTGAGGAGCCGTGGCAGGAGACGGAACTGCAGCTGCCGCGTGCTTGTGTACAGTGGCAGCCCGTCCAGCACGCGCGACCTGAAGCTCTCGTTGCGACCCACCCATGTCGGGTTAACCTGAACCACAACAGAGGGTGCAACATTATTTCTGTGCCACCCATGTCGGGTTAACCTGAACCATAGCAGAGGGTGCAACATTATTTCTGTGCCACCCATGTCGGGTTAACCTGAACCACAACAGAGGGTGCAACGTTATTTCTGTGCCACCCATGTCGGGTTAACCTGCGCCACAACAGGGTGTGGAACGTTATTAATCCTGTGAAGCCACCCATGTTGGGTTAAGATCACATGTCCTAAGACGCATCCAAGCCATTCTGTGTCAAACTGTTGATGAACATTGCACGTTTGTGTTTCAGAAACTATCAAAATTTTCAAAGAGGAACTTAATTCTTCAAGTGACTGATTTAGCTCTGAAGCTGAATTGCCTGCCGTACGATGCTCTTTAATATTGACACCTCCACTGACTTAACTTAATTTATTCAAGAAAACTAATAACGCTTATAATTGTACAAAAATAATACGAGTATCAAACCCATTTCCTCGAAATCGTTCAGGATTGCAGTCTAAAGGATTGAAGCAGTTTGTTGAAACAATTCCTCCAGAATTTAATAGTATTAAACCTTAAAACTTGTTTAATTTTATTTGACCCCAAGACCCGTATAATCAAGACTTTCATAAAGGATTGTAGTAGTTCATAAAATTAATCTGAGGATGCTAGGATAATCTAAGATAATGGAAGTTTCTAAATATAGAAGGATAATCCAGGATAATAAAAGTTTCTAAATATATAAGGATAATCCAGGATAATAAAAGTTTCTAAATATAGAAGGATAATCCAGGATAATAAAAGTTTCTAAATATATAAGGATAATGCAGGATAATAAAAGTTTCTAAAAGTCTATCGCTTTAAAGTGAGCAAAGAATACGTACAGGTTCGCTATTGATGAAGAAGACGAGCGTAGGAGGCGGGTAGGCGTTAACAGAAGAGCAGTTGAGCTGCACCTGCTGATGAAGCTCGTACACGGCCTGCAGCGGCGACAGCAGCGGCGGCGAGTCCGGCAGGTCTGATGAGTTCGTTTATAAGTTCGCATGTAAGATTCTACCAACGTCTTAGGTGGTATAATAAGTTCAATTATTGTAGTTAGCATAATAATATTCCCATTTCATAATAAGCGGTCTTGATATTCTGATAATATAATGAGAGTAAGGCAGTATGAATTGGGTGAGATCGAAATACGGCGGGAATGAAGGACACTAGAGTAGACGACATGGAAATACGGCAGGAATTAAGGACACTACAGAGTAGATGAGATGGAAATACGGCAGGGATTCTACAGAGTAGATAAGATGGAAATACGGCAGGAATGAAGGACACTAGAGTAGACGACATGGAAATACGGCAGGAATTAAGGACACTCCAGAGTAGAGGAGATGGAAATACGGCAGGGATTCTACAGAGTAGATGAGATAGAAATACGGCGGGAATGAAGGACACTGGAGTAGACGACATGGAAATACGGCAGGAATTAAGGACACTACAGAGTAGATGAGATGGAAATACGGCAGGAATTCTACAGAGTAGATGCGATGGAAATACGGCAGGAATGAAGGATTCTACAGAGTAGATGAGATGGAAATACGGCAGGTGGAAATACGGCAGGAATGAATGACAGGACAGAGTACATGAGATGGAAATACGGCCGGAATGAAGGACACTAGAGTAGATGAGATGGAAATACGGCCGGAATGAAGGACACTACAGAGTAGATGAGATGGAAATACGGCAGGAATTAAGGACACTACAGAGTAGATGAGATAGAAATAAGACAGCCCAATAGATCGCCGTACTCACCGACCACCTCGAGTCTTGCAGTCTTTGCGTCGGTGTGGAAGGACGGCGCCTCCTCGGAGATCTCGCAGCGCATCACACCCGACGCCTTGCGCGACAAGTTGCGGATCACGACGGTACCTTTGGACGACTCCGCCTCGGACACGTCGAAAGCGTTCACTCTGAACACCTGCTCGCATAATTTGATCATTAATTGTATAATCATCAAATTATAATTTAAAATTTGAAAATATTGCTGTAGTGGTAAACTCGTTCAATAACATTGTGACTGTTTTCAATTGGGATGTGTGCTTATTGAGACGAAGCGGACGTAACATCGACAGAAGATACAAGCAAGCAAGCAAGCAACAGTTTTACTTTATTACCATTTCTTACATTAATAAATATGTATTTATATTTTTGCTAAAGAATAAGACAATCGTGAACTATTAATATTATCTTATTTGAATTGTACTTTACACATATTGCGTTCCATTTTAATTTTAACTGTATCGACTTTAACTTTAACTGTAACTTAACTTTAACTGTAACAAATGCTCGAGTGTCATTAATACCTATCATTATCACTCAGACATGCTATCAAATATTTTCAACTGTTTTTTAAATAGAGCTTGCCAACATCATTTCCTCACCTGCACGGGATTTTTTTCAGCTGGGGTCCACCTGTAGAATTCCTCGAGTCCAAAGTACCACTTGAGGGAATAAACATCCTTATTGTTGGGCGACACCCACTCGCACTCCAGGACGGCAGAGTCTCCCACCGCCACGCGAGCGGGGACGTTGATTTTAGTTATGCGTAAACCGCTGCAGCATCCTGCCGAGTAAAACAAAAACATTCGTCAAGTTTCATTCAAATAATGTGTGAGCAACTAAAATTATCAGAAAATAGTTCATGGATAATATCGAAGTAAATATTAAAAGGCGAATAATATTACGCATATTTCACGCTTTCGGAAATAATTCACCATGGAAGCGACGGCTGCGTTATTCTATCACTCAACTAGGGGAAGCGCAGCTAAGTGAGATAGTAAACTTTGAACAAGTAATATCCGTAGATTTTGCGCTTTCCTCTTATCAGAGAAAACGAGTTGGTGGAACCAGACTAGATTTTTAGCTTGATAAAAATTATATTGAAGTATAAAATTAAATTGTCGAGCTCTTTTAAATGCTGATAATAATAAAAAATTTGATCAGGTAAATTCGTTCACTGCCAGAGTTAAGGGGAGCGAAAGTTGAAACATTGTGCGAAGCTATTGGGAAATTTAAGGTCAACTGTAATAAAAATTGCGGTTGTGCTCGGACAAATAGCCGTTTTTCCGAGAGACATAAATCCCTTGTAAGAGTTGAGATATCGAGGGGCAAGAAGTATAGCAGGTCATGGAGTGGGAGAGGTGGCAGGTAGACCTGCACCGTCCCACCGACCGCCTGTTTGCAAACACAAGGCTAAATTGAGGGCAAAATTGGCAATAAACGTTGCAGAGATTGGGGTCGAGAAGCCCGCGACAACAAGACTCCGGCCGCAGTGCTGAGGATGACAGTGTCAGTGTCAGCACGGCTGACGCGGACACAAAGCATGGGATTACGGTATGGCAGCACGCCACAATACAGCACGATTGACTCTACGGTACAGAAGAGCTGACGCTACCTAGTACAACACGGCTGTCGCTACAGTGCAGCACGCCAGGCAAAGAAAAAAAATTAAATGAATACGAGCATAACTTAGTGGACTAGACAATAAATCGCAACAAACATTGCAGAGCATGAACATTACTTACTGGACTAGACCGTAAATCGCAACAGACATTGCAGAGCATGAACATTACTTACTGGACTAAACCATAAATCGCAACAAACATTGCAGAGCAGGAACATTACTTACTGGACTAGACCATAAATCGCGACAAACATTGCAGGCCGTGAACATTACTAACTGGACTAGACCGTAAATCGCAACAAACATTGCAGAGCATGAACATTACTTACTGGACTAGACCGTAAATCGCAACAAACATTGCAGAGCATGATACGGTACAGAAGAGCTGACGCTACCTAGTACAACACGGCTGTCGCTACAGTGCAGCACGCCAGGCAAAGAAAAAAAATTAAATGAATACGAGCATTACATAGTGGACTAGACCATAAATCGCAACAAACATTGCAGAGCATGAACATTACTTACTGGACTAGACCATAAATCGCAACAAACATTGCAGAACATGAATATTACTTACTGAACTAGACCGTAAATCGCGACAAACATTGCAGTGCGTGAACATTACTAACTGGACTAGACCGTAAATCGCAACAAACATTGCAGAGCATGAACATTACTTACTGGACTAGACCGTAAATCGCAACAAACAGTCGGGGTATCAACATTATTTACATTATTTACCTCTGTCATGCAATTAGTAAACCATCTCTTATGCCAATACGTCACCTGAAACAGATGACCATTTTTAAGCAACTGTACAGATAACCCATAAAGTTTTACGAAGATATTAATGGCAGCGCTTAATATTTTTCATTTCACGCGCGTTAGTTCGGAAATATTTTCAATGTATTGTCACGGCTCAAAGGCGGCCATCGCGGTCATCGTCAAGTCCACAAGTCAGGCTTGCGACAGCGGCCGTCCATCGACCCAAACCTTGTTAGCAGCTCCCCGGGACCCTGGCACGTCGCTTAGCTTTTGCTAAGTTTTTGCTCGGATTTTTAGCGATCATGTAGTGGCAAGGAAGGAATTTGGCGACCTCAGCTGAGTGCAGTCGTCGAATAAACGAGTGTTAGTTCGACTTGAAATCTTTTCGGCGTACCTATGAAATTGAAATTTCCAACTCGTCAAAGCTAACGCTTTAAAATTGTTTTTAGAAATGTTTAGTTTAGAAGAGTGTTTTGTTTAGAAGTGTGTAATATGTTACATAAAAAATATGGTATTGCTCACATCATGCATAGAATTTCAGGTGCGCTAGATATTTTGAATTATTGTTAGAAGATTCACGGAGAAACGGCAAGAAAATAGATTCTGACAAGAGTACGATCTGTTGAGGGCTTACGATTGTCACAATAACAACTAATTTATACGTGACTCTTTGATCTTAGCAGCATTGTAAAGTTGAGTTGCTGGATTCAACAACATTTCGACCAAAGAGAGCCACGGTCATCAGCAGTCTCGCATAGAANGTTAGTGTTGAATATGAATCGCGCTCAGACGCAGCATCACGAATCTGCTTTGTGGGCATCACAACACGGACTGTACTTACTCTATAAATAAAGAGCAAAAATTGTGAATAAGTAAGTGGGCTATACGTTTACAAATACTAAAATACACTATAAATTTAAAGATAAACTGAGTATAAACACTCCAGGTTTGGTATATAAATATTGCAAGTAATGCTCGTAAATAATGAACAATGTAACTAATAATTTTACTGATCAAGAATTGTACTTCAAATAAAAAGCCAAATAAATTCACCATATTTGCATTGAAAACTTTTGAGAGACCAGCGCCATCACCAGTCAAAAACGCCAAGAATACGAGCATAATCAATAGCACGATCAAATACTAGAAAGGGATTAAAATCAAAATAGCCACATAAACTAGCGAAGTAACGTGAAAACTTGTCTATCAACAGTTTCAGGCGGGTAAGAACAAGGAGCGTTGTTTATACATGGTTTTCGTTTAGAAACATGCAGCGATTCCGAGGTCTCTGCAGTGATCAAATGCTTAGAACTGTTCGGAATAAATGTTCGGGACATAAACCCAACTCTCAGTTTATGCCAAACATCATGCAGGGCAATTCAAGCAATCAAACACATCCTGTCGATCGAGCTAGAGACATAGCTCTTGCCAACCCATATGGCATACTCGTACAGTACATGCAAGCACACGCTTACATGTAAGCTACAGTACATGCAAGCTGTAAGTGAAAAATACTCAAGTTCTCAAAAACAGTAGGAAATTGGCCCTGGAATGCATTGCACAAATGCCTTTCCATTTTATAGATAAGTGCAGGCCGACTGGTATGAAATCTATTATTAAACACAAGGAGCATAAAAGTGTGGATTGTTTATCATTTGAAAAGCTTATAGGAAAGATATAGTTCGTCTTCAGTTGTGATCAATGACAAAATGTGATTAATCAAGACATAATGAGTTAGCCAACGTATAGCGACGCACGACATTCACACAACATCATGTGTGTGGGCAACCATGCACGCAGCAACAAACGTACAATCAACATTCTGTGATAGTCATCACTTCATACGCAGGCGGTGACATGCGTCAGTTGTGTATACACGCACACGGTATTCGTGTTCACAGCAACGCTTGGTTTGTTTGCCGCTGCGGCCGTTTCGGGACAAGCCGTGATGAGCTAACTGAGGCAATGTGAAGTTTAGGACATCGTTAACGCGGACGTGATTGGACGATAGGTCGTCGTTCATAACACGCATATCGCTTGGTCCCTTCTGGCGAGCACATGCAAGCTCGTATCTTTGCTCACATGCAAAATTAAATGGTGAAATATATAATCAAGCGAACGAAGTAAATCTAATAATAAGCCTGTTTTCATTATCTGAAGACTAGAAAGCCAATTCAAAAGTTCATATTGACCAAGAATGTGCAAATATACTAACCCTAAAATTAGACTTTAAACGACTTAGAAAACAAGTTGTAGTTGTAGAGCACTGTAGTGCATTTGCTAGCATAAACAACTGCGAAATGTGTGGGTGACCGGCAAGCTCCTCAAAACCGCTTCAGGTCCCCATTCGAGAGTTGAATTTAGTAAGGATAAGCATGGGCTATTTCGAAACTTGAGATTCCAAGATAGACAAAACTCACTCCACGACGAACTCACACCCTCTCACTTCCAACACACAAGCCAGGTCAACACACCCTGGCCCGACGTGGCCGGTCAGAGATTGTTTCCTAATAAGCAATGAATTTTCAGATGTGATCATCGGGCGGCCTAACGGATGAGCTATTCCGTGGGGGCACGAAATCCTGCTAGGAGAGCAATAGCACGAGAATATCGATGAAATTCTGGGAAAAATACAGGAAGGTTACGGAGAAACAAAAGATGAAAATTGAAGTAGGGATGAGAAATGCCTCAAGAAAAAATCATCATTTAATTAGAAAAAATGTCATAAATTAACGAGGACCTAAGATTTTTTCGAAGAAAAAATTATGGAAAGACGCAAAACGTAAAATCATTTTTTACTTGCAAGTAGGATTCGTGAATTAAATTTCGGGGGTAAAAAAATCTTAGTCCAATTCAAGATTCGGTAATTTTCTCAGAATGGTTCGACCGAAGTCGTCGCATGATTTACCAGAATACAGAAAGGTCTTGGTACATCGAGAATTCCGTGCGTTAAATGCTAGATAATTTGGGAAAAAAAGCCCAGTATTCAACAATAGATAGTGTCGAAAAGGTCCAGTTTTGAACAGTGTCTGAAGTCAAGAAAACCCTGATTTTGTTCAAGATCCCGACGAAAAGGGCGGGATGAGGATGGCCTGTTTAGAGCGAACGAAGGCTGGGGATTTGTTAGTGAGAGTCGCCGGCGACGCACTCGAGCAGAAGGGGCCAGACAATACTCTTGATTGGATCCCCGACGAGGGGGACGACAGGGTTCATGAGAACGCCTGAGGATTAAAACGGCCGATTTTAGAGACACCCTGACTAAAAAACGACAACTTCTAGCCGAAGCAAATTGACATCGAGAAATAGGATCAGGAATTTTTAGGATCAGGAATTTTTAGGATCAATTTTGGAGAAAATTTTCGGCCATTCAAAAAAGGGTATCAGAAATAAGTTTG